TTGCTCCCTCCTCCCTGTGGATTTGATTGTCTGTCACTGTATGTCCCAATTCAGCAGGGAAAATCCCAACATATCCTTGGTCATTCTATTTTTTTTAGCTGCTTTTAAAATGTCCTGTTCTTCATCTTCCTCCCACTTTATTATTTGTTCCTTGGTTGATTTCAATTGCTGAAAACTCAGTGTGCTTCCAGACAGTGTAAAAAATATGGTTAAATAACTGTGTTTAAATATCCCAGGACGGCAAGTCCAGACGCAGGACTGTCAGTCCTGGTAAATGGTCCCATGCCATCCTAACACCTTCCTTTGCAGTGGTTTTTATAAATCCACAAGATGGAAGGGCAGACAGTTTTTTTAAAAAAAAAAATCTCTGAGATACCCTTGACCATATATACGCTCATGCAGAGATCCCAATGTGCACAAAAGCAGATTTCTTATTCTCTCTCTTCACCCAACTGTGAATATCAAAAAGATCAAAACAAAGGAATGGTTGCAGAGAGCTCTAACTGTAATTGGGTTGTTGTAGGTTTTTTCAGGCTATATGGCCATGGTCTAGAGCAGTGGTTCTCAACCTGGGGTCCCCAGATGTTTTTGGCCTACAACTCCCAGAAATCCCAGCCAGTTTACCAGCTGTTAGGATTTCTGGGAGTTGAAGGCTAAAAACATTTGGGGACCCCAGGTTGTGAACCACTGGTCTAGAGGCATTCTCTCCTGCCATTTCGCATGCATCTATGGCAAGCACCCTCAGAGGGGGCCACACACTCTGAGGATGCTTGCCATAGATGCAGGCAAAACGGCAGGAGAGAATGCCTCTAGACCATGGCCATATAGCCCGAAAAAACCTACAAAAACCCAGTGATTCCGCCATGAAAGCCTTCGACAATACATCTAACTGCAATTGCTTTCCACTTGTGCTTCTTTTTAGCCACCTGTGTCCGAGGCTCCATTTTTTGACAGCCCAATCAGCTGTGTTAGGCTTTTAAAACACACATGTGTGCTGGAGAAGTCTTTTTTTTCATGTCAGGAGCAGCTTGAGAAACTGCAAGTCACTTCTGGTGTGAGAGAATTGGCCATCTGCAAGGATGTTAGACACCCAGATGCTTTATCATCCGGTGGGAGGTTTCTCTCATGTCCCCGCATGAGAAGCTGGAGCTGACAGATGGAAGCTCATCCTGCTTCCTGGATTTGAACCGCTGACCTTTCGACCAGCACTCCTACCAGCACAAGAGTTTAACCTACTGCACCACCGGGGATCAGAAGGAAGTAACGTGTTTTCCATGACAGCAAGTCATGAGAAAATGTGCACCTTATAAACATGTGCTCTTCAGCTGTTAACCAGATTCTGCACACACTTTCCCCAAATGTCATTTAGAGAACCCCTCTTTTATCTTGGTTTATTTCAGGTTTTTAGGTATGTGTAGAAGGGCCCTGAGTCCAGAGTGCAAAAGAAGTTAACACTCAAGGAACTTTGTAGGGAAAGCTCACTATTCCCAATAGGCTTAGGCAAAAGCAAGCTGCTGCAGTCTCTCTTAGCCTGTCTGTTCCCCCTCACTAATAATATACTCTGATTTTGTGCGTCCATTTATATCCTATTTTTCATCTGTGAAATGTTGGATGGTGGCTGGGCCTGGGGCAAAAAATGTATACATATTTTCAACAGAAACAAGCAAATCAGGAAGTCTTCAAAAAAACCAATATTTACTTCCATTTTCTGATTACACTCCTTCAACCCCATGCATTCATATCCTTAATTATAGCTGGTAATTCTAGAAACTTTGCTGATGCTCATAGTTCCTGGAAAAAAGAGATCTCAGCTAATTGCACCATCTAGCGTTAAATCAAGGCAAAGACATGGAGGAAGCATTTTAGAATAATGTGTTTTAATTCATATCTGAAGGCACAGTCGATAACATTGTTTGGCTTGCAAAACCACTTTCAAATGGAATTATTCCGAATTTCCTGTGCATTATAGCATAAGCAAGGAAGGTAATTTGATTCTGCCAGAGGACATCCGATATGCAAAACGTAGGACACAATGCTATTCTAAACAAGTGGATATTGCTGGTAATTTGGGATTCATGAAGAGACAAGAATTTGTCTTGTTATTAAATGAGGTGATTTAAGATTCTGCATCCAGTGTTCTGATTACCTCTCTCCACCACCAGCAAGGCGATAATGTGTAGAGTTTCATTTGCTTCAAAATAATACAAGTTCAACTTGGAGCTTGTCTGCAATAATATTCACCCTAAATAAGAAGATAGAAGAGGGTGGATCTACATGTGCCAGGTTAATCTGAGATATTTGTGCCCCTGAGTTGCCATAGGCCTTGTATGTACCTGCTTTTTAAAATCATGTCAGAAGTGACTTGAAAATTGGCAAGTTGCTTCTGGTGTGAGACAATCGGCTGTCTGGAGAGACATTGCCCAGGGGATGCTCAGATGTTTTACCATCCTGTGGGAGGCTTCTCTCATGTCCCTGCATGGGAAGCTGGAGCTGACAGAGGGAGCTCACCCCATCTTGCAGATTCAAACCACTGACCTTCAGGTCAGGTCAGCAGTTCAGCTGGCACAAGGGTTTAACCCATTGCACCACCACGTCTCCTATATGTACCTGCTGAATGTGGAGTTATGTGTCCAGATGGTCCAGCCTGCACATCCTCTTATCAATGTGCCATCATTGTCAATCACCAGCCTAGCCAGGCTCTGTATGTGGACTAAGGCGTAAAAACCATCTTGATTCCCTCAGACAGAAAAAGTCTTGGGCCATTTTTGCTTTAGCAAGTGGGCTCTCAGAAGAGACACCGTTAGCCAAGAGTATTCCAGGCTATGAATGGGTACAAGGCCCAGGTTGAAATGGAAAGCAGATATTCCCAAAATCCAGGACTAGAAAAGACATTTGCTACCTCCAACTTTAGTGGACCAACTGAAGCAGGGATTCCCATTAAAGCAGAGAGATGTTCCTCTGAAGCAGGCAAGGGCAGACTTCCCCTTGGAGACCTAGGAGATGGCTAACCCCATGTCTTCCTACTGCCTATAGTACACAGCAACTGATGTGTCTCAATTAACTTCTGAGTGGTCAATACAGTCTCTTAAGTCACTCATTTGTTCAATTTTAGCCATAGGTCAGTGGCAGCTGTGACTTCCATGTCCTGATATGGAGAGTCCAAACCATATCAATTCAAAAGAAGCAATTCAAAAACTGTATCCAAAGTAGGTCCCATTGCTTGAAAGTTCTAGTTAGAACATGGAATGGATTCATCAACTTTCCTCCGTGGATGTTACTACACACTACAAGGTTCCCCCTTAAGGATCTACATTATGTGGCAGTAGAATATGAATTCTCAAACTTGGCACTTTACAAGTGCTGGCTTTAGCACAGCAGGTTAATCACCAGCTGCTGTAAATCTTGCCAACCAAAAGGTTGACAGTTCGAAGCTGGGTCAAGGTGAGCTCCTGACCTTCAGCCCAGCTCCCGAACCCACCTAGCAGATCGAAAACAGTAATATGAGTAGATTAATAGGAACCACATTAAGCAAGGAGGTATTTTAGGCATGGCATTTCAGAGGAAAGTTCACGCACAAAGAAAGCTATTTGGCAAGGGGATGGAGCAATGGCACCCCCTATGGCTGGAACGTAGCACAGCCTCCAAAAGATGCCAAAGATGAGAATAAGCCTAAACATACCTCTATCTGTTGTCTGTCTTGTCATTGTATATTTATTTATTTATTTATAGTATTTATATTCTGCCCTTCTCACCTCCGGGTGGATTACAATGTACATATACATGGCAAACATGCAATGCCATTAGACGTACAACATATATAGACAGACACACAGAGGCAATTTAACATTCCAGCTTTCCAGCTTCATGAGAACATGCTCGATTCCGACTGGCCATAGGGAGAGCTGCCACTTCACCATCCACTTGTGACACCGAGTCCTTGATGGAGTACTTCCTCATTCTTACACATGCTGCTGGAAGGTTTTATGATGTCATAACTTAGTTAAATTAGCCTCCCTGCATAAAGCAGTACCTAAATTTCCTACTTGACAGGTGCAACTGTATTTTGGGCTCCATATGTCAACAGCAAGCTAGACTATTAATGGTCGGGAGCTCACTCCGACCCGCGCTGGTTTCGAACTCATGACCTCTCAGTCAGGAGCGATTTAATGCCGCTAGCTACTAACTAGCTACACTACAGCCCGGTCCATATAATCGGCATTGAATGTTTGCCATATATGTGTTCTGTGATCCGCCCTGAGTCTCCTTCAGGGTGAGAAGGATGGAATATAAGTACTGTAATTAATTAATTAATTAAAACCCACTGACTATACTTGATCTGGGCTCCCTCTTTTCGGCTCTGGTGTTAGGCGACCATTTAAATTCCCCACAATATTGAGGTGGCACTGTGGGAAACTAAAGTGGTGGCACCAGAATGGCTCTACTGTTGCCAAGTGAGCCCATGAAGGAAATTATTGGTTGCAATGAAGTGCCATGAGCACTAAGTTGAGGTTCTCTCAGTTCTGAAGTCAACTGAAATCTAACCAACCAACTTTCTCCTTAGAGACACACAATGCATTTTTCTCCTGTGCCACAGAACCTGAACATATTTCGCAGAGTGTTATTGCACGACCATATAGAGGAAAGTGAGTACATTACCAAAAAAAGAACTCCTTTTCACCCCAAAACTCTCAGCACTCGTATTTCAAAACATAAATTGTAAAAACAACAACAGGTAAACAGCTCAGAAATCAACAACCTCATGGTGGCAACCACAGTGTTCTTTCCTCACATAAAAGAGTGATGGGTTAATTAGTGGAAATGCTAGACAGCACAATGCACCAACTCATAACAAGTTCTCAATTCTACTGTAACCCAACGGCAAACGTTGCACAAAGGAACATGCAATAACAACTTTTAAGACAGGGCACCTATATTAAGTCATTCACATGCTTTCTATGATTATCTTTAATGAGAGTTGTCAATGAAAAAACTTTACAAACCTTCAATGGTGAGATGTGCGACTGAAGGACGTATCCATGGACATTTTCTATCTGTGATAAATTCTTTTCGGAGACGTGAACTAGTTCTGGCCCTCTCACGTCGTGAGTTAAACGAGGTAAACTATGATCGTGTGGGGCATCGTCATCTTGGTAGCGATACTTCTACAAGGAAGAAAGACAAGGAGAAAGAAAGATTGGTTAGGAACGGTGGGAGAGATTTCTACATCTTTCAACATGATCATTTGATAAACATTCAAGAATAATCATTAGCTCTAAATCCTAGTCCCAGGTGGAGTAGACCCATTTAGTCAACATCGGTCAGCATTCCTATCGGGCACTAAAGAGCCATTTTCCTGCCCAGGCATTCCAAAAGACCAGAAACAATGCTGTGGCCAAGTGAGTAGAGAAAGTCCATGCTTCTTGCAGTCTTTCCTTGGATAAAGCTCTTGTTTTTGGCTATTGTACTCAGAGATGGGATGGATCCTTTTTGGACTAGAGCTAAGGTACAGTATATACCAGCCAGTCCAAAACGCCTTCCAGGTGTTTTGGACTTCAGTTCCCACAATTCCTAACAGCCGATAGTATATACCAGGCATGGGCAAACTTCGGCCTTCCAGGTGTTTTGGACTTCAACTCCCATCGTTCCTAAGAGTCAATAGTATATACCAGCCATGGGCAAACTTTGGCCCTCCAGGTATTTTGGACTTCAACTCCCACAATTCCCAACAGCCAATAATATATACCAGACATGGGCAAACTTTGGCCTTCCAGGTGTTTTGGACTTCCACAATTCTTAACAGCCAATAGTATATACCTGACATGGGCAAACTTTGCCCCCCCCCAGGTATTTTGGACTTCAGCTCCCACAATTCCTAACAGCCAATAGTATATACCAGGCATGGGCAAACTTTGGGCCCCCAGGTGTTTTGGACTTCAGCTCCCACAATTCCTAACAGCCAATAGTATATACCAGGCATGGGCAAACTTCGGCCCTCCAGGTGTTTTGGACTTCAACTCTCACAATTCCTAACAGCCAATAGTATATACAGTACTATATATAGTATATACAGCCAATAGTATATACTAGGCATGGACAAACTTTGGCCCTTCAGCCCTCCAGGTGTTTTGGTGTTTAGGAATTGTGGGAGTTGAAGTCCAAAACACCTGGAGGGCTGATGTTTGCCCATGCCTGGTATATACCTTAACTCTTACCCATAGAAAAGTCTACCTACATTTGGGGAATTGATTTGTATTTAAAATTTCTAGACTTATACAAGAGTATATATGGTATATGAGGCTCCATCTACACTGCCAAGTATCTGAATCCAGATTATCTGATTTGAATTGAATTATATGGTAGTGCAGACACTTATAATCCAGTTCAAAGCAGATAATCTAGATTCATAAACTGGATAATATGGCAGTGCAGATCCAGCCTCACTGAGGTCCCTTCTACACTACCTTACAAAATCCAGATTATCTGCTTTGAACTGGATTATATTAGTCTACGCTGCCATATAATCCAGTTCAAAGGAGATAATCTGGATTTTATATGGCAGTGTGGATCCAGCCTGAGAGGCAAGTAGTGACTGAAGGGACTAGATCTGTGGCTCTAACGTGCTTAGAGATTTTAAAATCTGGTATTTTCCCAAGCATTTGGAAAGTCATAACATGTGGCCGGTGAGCTATATTTATTCTGCCTGGCAATTCTCAAATCATGTCAAACCAGCTGTAAGAGTTGCCACCCTTTCCTCCAAATAGTTGCTGTTGGGCAGAGGGACCCTTTTTACATACACACACACACACACACACACACACGTCCATGGAACTTCACAAGAGAATCACAAAAGAACAGGTGGATGATGAATGATAATTACAAATCAGTGCCTTCTTCTACGAAGGGGGCATTATGTACTGCCAGCCCACAGCAGATATTTTAAATCCCCTGTAATTACCTCTAATGGAGCAGTACAGACTGTGCTGCTGTGAGCTATTAAATGGAAATGTGGCCATCTTTTAAAAAGCACACAAATTTAAATCCCTGTTTGTTTGTTTAAAAACATTAAATGGAAGTAGTAATGTCTCAAGCTCTTCGAGGATCGCCAGGTCAGCAGCAAACACGTGCCTTGAGATTTCAGGGCCAAAATGTTGGAGTACATATCCTTGAGAAGTGACAGCGGAGCATCAGGCAAAGGTTGGGAGAAGAAATGAAGTACTTCTGGCTACCTTGAGTGCATCTACACTCTAGATCAGTGGATGCTAACCTATAGTCCATGGACCACCATTGGTCCACAAGAACTAAAATATGGTCCACAGCCTCATCGTTGCAACTAGAGACACTGGTCTCGCAAAATCCTCTTACAGTGCCGAGGCTTATTAAATATAGTTTTCTGTGGGCAAGCAGATGGCAACTACTGGATGGCATATGTTCTGTATCAGAAACTAGAGCTGATGTGGTCTATCCAATGCAATTTTCTGAATCAGCACTCTAAATAACCAAACCAAATCTAAAATAGACCAAAAACCGATTCATAACCCTTTTGGTACTAATGTTGAAGAGTGATTCCTGGTCAAGTGGTCCCTGGTCAAAAAACGTTAGAAAATGTTGACCATTTCCTCTACCTTGGCAGCCACCTCTCCACAAAAGTCAACATTGACACTTAATTACAACACTGCCTGAGCTCTGCAAGTGCAACGTTCTTCCAAATGAAGCAGAGAGTGTTTGAGGACTGGGGCATCCATAAGGAGACCAAGGTGCTTGTTTATAAAACTATTGTCCTCCCGACCCTGCTATATGCCTGCGAAACCCTGACTGACTACAGATATCAAACTCAACGCCTGGAACAATTCCATCAGTGCTGTCTCTGAAAAATCCTAAAAAAATCTTGGGAAGACAGGTGGAAAAATGTTAGCATGTTGGAAGAAGCAAAGACCACCAACACTGAAGCAATGCTCCTACACCATCAACTCCATTGAACTGGCCATGTTGTCCAAATGCCCGATCACCGTCTCCAAAAGCAGTTACTCTACTTCCAACTCAAGAATGGGAAATGTAATGTTGATGGACAGGGAAAGAGGTTTAAAGATGGGCTTAAAGTCAAGCTTAAAAACTGTGGCATAGACACAGAGAAGTGGAAAGCCCTGGCCCTTGAGCACTCTAGCTGGAGATCAGCTGTGACCAGCAGTACTGCAGAATTCGAAGAGGCATGAATGGAGGGTGAAAGGGAGAAATGTGCCAAGATGAAGGTGCATCAAGCCAACCCTGACCTGGACTGCCTCCACCCGGAAACAGATGTCCTCACTGTGGGAGAATGTGCAGATCAAGACTAGGGCTTCACAGCCACCTATGAACTATGAACCCACTGCCAAGATACTAAACTTGGTGAACCATCATCCTCGGGCTACGAAGGATCGCCTAAGTAAGTAAGTAACGTCAAAAAAAGATCTGGACCCACTGCTGTAGATTGAATACAAATTGACAACACTTTAATTGGCATGGCTCAATGTTATGGAACCCTGGGATTCATATGTAATCCTGGAAGGATTTGTAGTTTAAGGAGAAGCATTTAGACTTCTCAGCAGAGGAAGAAGTTGTACATCTAGCCTGCCAAACCGCAAATTCTAGAATCCCATAGGAGTGGAATCATGCTGCTATAACCATCCAGTGTGAATGGGTCCTGGTCATCTCTTCTTCCCAGCCTCAGCTCTTCCTGGATTTGTTTTGGTTTGAGGTGGGTAGCAATGTTATGCAAGCAGAAAATGCAATTAACACCTTCATTCTGAGATATTAAGACCTGTCACCAGCTGAGAATAAACAGACTTTGAAGTCACCTTGCCCACACAAAAAATTCAAACTTTTTCCTTTATGTTTTTTGTCTACAACTTTTTCTCCCTGCTTAAAAGCCCAGCAATTTGTAAGTTGATGTTCTCAGACACAGCAAATATCCTTCCAAACAGCCCTGAACAATGCACTTGAAGATGAACAATCTAGACATTACTCTCTTAATGAAATTTGTTATTTTTTAAAAAATGATTTCAAATTAAATAAAAACCCTAAAGATTTCTTTTAAATGAACTTTAAGTGGTCAAAGACTAAACTGCACCTGGCAGGTCTTAAAATGAGTGTGTGTGTGTTCAGGTCACCTCTTGAGCTGGTCATCCCATGGATTTTTTCATAGGGATTTTAAGGCAAGGCATACTCAGAGGTGGTTTTGTCAGTTCCTTCCTTTGAAATATAGCCTACCACACCTGGTATTCCTCAGAAGTCTCCCACACAAAAAACTAACCAGGACTGACTCTGCTTAGATTCCGGGCTCAGATGAGATCTGAGTCTTTCAGGGTATTTGGCCTTTATGGGTCTAAATGTTATTGGGTTGTTGTATGTTTTTTCGGGCTATATGGCCATGGTCTAGAGACATTGGCCATATAGTCCGAAAAAACCTACAACAACCCAGTGATTCCAGCCATGAAAGCCTTCGACAATACACTAAATGTTATTCCCTAAACTTCAAATGTCATGATTCCATAGAATGGAAAATAGTAGTTCAAGTGACTTACCCATTGGTTATTAGGGTTGTGCTTTTGGGGGAAGCCTTGCCCCATTTTGTGTTCCAGCTTTCGTTGGGGGCCCCAATCTTATTTTTGTGAGCCTCCCAAAATCAGAAGGGTTGTTTTCGGTTCTTTTGGTTCAGGGCCTCAAAAATTGGATGATTATTGGGGGGTGGACTTCCCACCCACTGGCTCCATGTGCATTCTTCTTACCTGGCACCTGCTGTTTCTACTCTAGAGTAAACGGTGCTTAACTGTAGGCACTGGCAGGTGCGTGTGCACTTTCTGGGCCTGCCTGCATGCCACATTACACACACACTTTCCTTGGAAAGAGAGTGCATGTGTGGCAGGGTGTGCAGACAGGCCTAGAAAGTGTTTGTGTCTGCCAGTGCCTGCAGATGTGCTCCTCTTACTATAGAGTTAAGAGACATTCAGCTGCAGGCTCACTCCAGGCCTGTCTGCATGCCTCACCCCACACACCCCACCACATTCTTCAAGAATGCATGTGTGGTGGGGCATGCAGGCATGCCCGGAGTTCACCTGCAGCCAAGCTCCAGGCCTTCCTGCTTGCACGCCCCACCACACATGCACTCTCTTTCCGAGGCAAGTTTGGA